ATGAGCTGAGGAGTGAGGGGGGCGCGGGCGGTGCTCGGAACAAGGGCTCCTCCCCCTGTTCCCCACACGCACTCCTCTTGGTTGAAATCTTGTTCTCCCCTCGTGGTTCAGCACAAGTTATTCCGCAACTAAAATGCTGCGGGAAGAGGTCGCCACCCATCCTGCCACCCGTCGGGCTGCTGCCTCTGCTTGGCTGTGGGGGTCTCTGGGACCTGAGATGGGTCAGCTGTGCCCCCTCCACTTTCTCAGGTGACGGGGCAGTGGCACCGGGCCCCTGGTTCTGTGGGTCGAGTACTGATTGCTGCCCTTTGCTCCGTGGCCCCATCACCCCCTTCCAAGCCCATGGCCACTCCCCCCTGAAGTGCCGGTCACCACAGACTTGGGTGCAGTGAGGACGAGAAGGGACCAGTGTTTCATTCATTCATTCACATCAAGGATCCGGGGCCCAGGCAGTGCTGGGCGGGGTATGCAGCCAGGACCCCCGGCCACTGGGAGATGGAGGGGATCCGGGCGGTCAGGTGTGAGCAAGGAAGAACTGACCAAAGCCGAAGGGCAGTGCTGTCTTTATTCAACCGTCTCGCACACAATGAACCAGGATGTGTACTGCAGAGCCAGGAAGGAGCCTGCACCAGCTCCCATGTGAACCACTCCCCCCAGCCCCAGCTCTGCAGGGCCCCAGGCGAGGTGGCACGGTGGCTGCACAGGGGCCCGGTGTGGACCAGGACCGTCCACCCAGCGCCCCTCCCCACGTTAAACAGCAGGCTCAGGTCCCAGCAGCAGCCGGGAAGGTAGTGAACAGAGGTGCCTGGAGGAAGAGTGGGCCACTCTGGAAATGGGGGGATCTACTCTCCCTCCACACTCCTGGGGGGGCTGTCCCTGGGCCGACAGGGTCCCAAGGAGGCCACAGCCACTCCCCAGCAGCAGCCAAGGCCAAGCGGGGCGCCAGATTTTGTCGCTAAGATCCCGGGGCTGGTGGAGAGAGCGGAGCGGCTCAGGCATGCTCTGTGGGGCCAGACCCGCTAGCGTGGGAGTGGGCAGGGGCGGCGGGCTGCAGGGGGCCAGCGCTGGGCTCTGGGGAGGCCCGCAGGGGGGCTGCGAGGCCATCGGCACCATCTGTGTCGAGGTCCAGCCTCCAGTACGCTTCGCACAGAGGCAGATCGTTAGCTTCGCGGAGACTGGAGCTTTTCCACCACCAGAAGCCCAGGGAGACAGGAGCAGGCAGAGGGCAGGGAGGGAGAGCGACACAGGAGCAGAGTTAAGAAAACAGACCGGACCCACACCTGCCTCTCCCCTCTGGGCAGGCGCTCCTTCAAGCAGGCCTGGCTGGGTGGGAGGCCCACGGGGCTCCCCAGCGTCAGGGTCCTTCGCATCCCAAAGGGAAAGGGAGGGCTGTCCAGGACCAGCCAGGCAGGTCCCTCCGCTGATCGAGCAAGTGTCTGCCCCGTCTGAGGGTCACCTGGCTGTCCTGCCCCGGCTGCCACCCCATCCTGCAGGGGCGCGGCAGCCTCACCAGTAGTGGCAGCTAGCATCCAGAGCCCATGGCTCCTGCACTTGGCCAGAATCCTGAGGCAGAGACCCCATCTTACTTCCGGGTCTGCCCTGGTGTTCGTCCTGTACCCCACCTCTCCAACATGCTGTGGAGGACCGAGTGGGGTGCAGGGGAAGAGCATGGCTCACGGGTATGGAGGCTGACGGCCCCTTCGCCGCACCGTCCTGCCCTTCCTGTGGCTGCTCCCTCCCTGCCTGTGGCTGCTCCCTCGCTCCCACCCTCAGCACTCAGTCTCAGAAACCATCCTGGTCACCGAGCAGGGTCCAAGGACAGCAGAGGGAGAGGTAGACAGGCAG